AAAAAGTAGATGGGGGTGGTGGGGGTGGCCGGAGAAGAAGTAGACGAAGGAGAAGAGTACCTAAAGCATCTAGGGTTTTATAATTATAACATTACCAATTTACCCTTTATGTTATTTTAGGATATAACATTAATTATTTAAATGATTGACTCATATTGGTTCTCACAGTTACCACAAATAACTCAGTTCTCATTTGATTAAGCCCCATATATATGGTATATATATATATGGTATATATTTTAAATGTAATTATGTCCATTTGTATAATCAATGTAACCCAATTAATTGAAATATTTATGAAAATGATGAGAATTCATTTATTATGATTTGAATATTTATGGAAGATGATTAGAGTTCATTAGTTATGATCAATACTTTATATTATGAAACAATCAACATTTTTATGAAATCACATATTCATCAAATTAAATGAACGGTTGTGATTGAGTTGTATTGGTTGTACAAATGTAAAGGGTTGCGTAATAATCCACCCCCTCTCTCTCTCTCTCTCTCTATATATATATATATATATTTCAATTTGTTCATTGGATTTAAAAAAAGCATAACTTGAACTACTATCCTTTATCGAAAGGATTTATATGCATGTTGACAATGTTGGGTAGTTTTTACAACGGATTTTTAAAGTTAAAAAGTTGAATGATTTTTTATAGTGATTCTAAAAATTATTTTTATAGCGACCAAATAAAAATTGGAAAGTGGAAAATTTTTGGAATATTTCTGAGTAACTGCTATTGAATCTCTATTGTGCTTTAACGAAGTTTGTCCAAGCTGTTGCAGGAACGTGTTAAAAAAATCCACTTGGTTAACTATTTTGAGCCTACAAACCCGTTCATTTGACATACCTCGTTACAAGGCATACAAGCCACACGAGCCAATACCTCAATTACAAGCCATACAAACCACACAAGCCAAACAGTTCCTACCCAACCTTACGACTTTGGGTTAGTGACATTAAACCAAGGAGCTTTATAGTTGATATCTTAGAGTTTGACTTGTCTATTCTTGAATTATCTGAAATAAACAGTCTTACGGTTAATGTTGAAGTGTGGTGTTTTTTGATTGGTCGTTTAATTCTAGTTTTTTTCTCGTCAATCACAAGTTTCTTTTGAAGTATATACCCATATGCCAAGTATGGTTCGTAACAATCTATCTTCCGGGGCATATGATGATTCTTTCACCATTTGGGGGGTTTACCTACTAAAATACCCTTCATTATTGCTTTATGATGGTACAACCAAGCTACATTTATGTGTTTTGATAGGTTCGGAAAAGTTTGGAGCGAAAAAGAGATAAAAGAAGGATGCTGACAGATTTTAGAGGCCATGGCATTTCGACTGTATCTCACTCTCCCGAACCCCAAAAGAGATTCAAGACGACCTGGAAAACCAACAAACAGCCCTACAACTTTGAAGCTTTCAGTTTCTGCATATTCCGGCTGCATCTAAACCAAAATTGACGTCGAAGGCAAAAAACATGCTGCTGGACAGCAAATGAAAAAAGTTCCAGTCAATGCAGCTGGAACATTAAGAAAAAAGAGAGGAGTGGACATTGAGGAAAAAGAAAGGTAACGAAATCCTATATAAAGAGAGAGAGATTGCTACTATCTTTTATTACTCATGTGGGGTTTAAACAAAAAGGAAAAGGGGGTGGCTGGTTTTTGAGGACACATGAATACAGCAGCATAAGGTTTTTGAAGAAGAAGAGGAAGAAGATGAAGAGGGTTGCTGTTGGTTTTTGAAGTTGACGAAAAACGCAAAATCAGTAGGGTTCTTGGGGGATAAAAATGATGAGAAAAAAGGGACGCAGCACACAGACAGAAGCAAGAGAGAAGGTGGCACGGCTGGAAACATATAAAAGGAAGAAGGAAAGCTATGTTTGTGGGTGATCAATCACAAGCACAAACAGAAGTCAACCAAGTTCTGTAATTAAGGTTTTAATTATATTCGAGGTAGTGGTTTTTCTTCTTCTTATTAGGAAATTTATTGTATTTAAATTGAAGGACTTGGTAAAAAAAATCTGTGTTCTGTTGACCATCCAAGCTTGTTTTCATAGAGTTCTTGTTTAATCTTGCATCCATCGTTTCTAAGATAAGGCACAAACATATCGAAAACATCGAACGTGCTTGCACAATAATGCAAGGCTAATTCCTTTCGAGGTTGATCCAACGTGAAAACCCACTTATGATCCAATTCTGTTTTGTTTTTATTAATTATACATTGGTTTAAATTTGCATAAAAAATATGGATACGTCGTTTAGACATAATGTGACGAGTTTTGTCGGGGCTTAATGTTTAATCTATGAAATATCTATATGTGCTTAAATAAACGTGCTTTAGTAAATGGTTAGCATAACTTAGATAGTCTATTTGTATCCGTCAATCTCACTGAACACAAAAGTGAAGGCGGGAGGACGGTTGGTTTGGATAGGAGTGGATTATGCCAAGGGGTTGGATCGGTCTCTTAGCACGTTTGTTTTGACAATGCATTATTGAACATTGTGTGAAAATTAATCGAATTAGTGAAACACTTGTTTTAGGAATGGACGGTTGACCTTGACTTTCTCTTATCGTTCTTTTTAATTTTTCTTTGTAAGAAAACCCCAAAAGATTTTATGTTTATTCGTTTCTTAGTTTTTATGCAATTCTTTCCAAAATTTGATTGAGTTAGTATTAATTGTGATAATCAAATTTCAATTTCGAGAGAGGAATCAAATCTCGATGTTTTTGTAAACCATGATGGTTATCTTGTAATTTCAAAACTGTAGTAAAAAAAAAGTGTTATTTATGACAAATCGTAGGAACCAAATTTGTAGTTGACTTTAAATGAATAAAGAACGAATATTAGTTTTCTATAATGCTTCCAAAACGTTTCCAAGTATATATATATTTTTTTTCCACTATCACAAAATCCAATACTATGTGTTTCATCTCCTAGGCTTCAAAAGTTTGTATAAATAGCTAGTGTTTCACCTTTTCATACCATATCAGAAAACCATTACTAGCTTCTCATATCAATCATTAGCATTAATTACATGATGGCTTACGGATCATGGAGAATGGTCATGGCTACTCTCATTGCTTCTATTTTCTTTTATGAGTCATATGTTGCAGAAATAGGTATGCTTAACCTATTTGGCTATCTCCTTCATTAGCCTGTAATTATTTCAGTTTTTCATATCTACAACTGCTGAATTACACCATTTCAACCATTAATATGATAAGTACTTTATATTCACTTACAATGGTTGTGTTTATGCTCTCTACTACAGCACCAGACTATACATTCATGCATGAAGCAACAAAAGCTCCGAAGATATCATTCTACGACTACATTGTCGTTGGTGGAGGTGCTGCCGGAATACCGTTAGCCACCACGCTCTCTGAAAACTATTCAGTTTTATTGCTTGAACGTGGTGGCTCCCCTTATGGAAATCCCGACATCTCCAAGGTGGAAAATTTTGGCAACTATTTCTTTGACCCATCACCAGATTCCCCATCAGAACTATTTATGTCTGAGGATGGTGTTGGAAATGCACGTCCACGTGTCTTGGGTGGGGGTTCTTCAATCAACGCGGGCTTTTACACTCGTGATGATACAAATTTTTTAAAAGAGGCAAGATTGTTGGATGAGAATTTGGTGAATAGTTCTTATGAATTTGTGGAAAAGGTTATGGTTTTTGAGCCTGTTGTAAAGGAGTGGCAGTCGGCATGGAAAGGTGCATTTACTGAAGCTGGAGTGACGCCATACAATGGATTTACTTACGATTATGTCAATGGGACTAAAGTTGGTGGTACAACATTCGACCAAAATGGGCAACGACATACAGCAGCGGATTTGCTGCAGTATGCAAATCCTTTACGATTGTCTGTTTATCTACATGCAACTGTTGGAAAAATCTTGTTTAAGACCAAAGGTATGTAGGAAATGGCTTCAATGTGGTGGATATTGTAAGTTGAAAAAAGAAACATCAACTCATGACTTGCTTGTTTTTTCTTTTGTTTAATAGGGAGAACAAGGCCGATGGCTTACGCGGTAGTGTTTGAAGATGCATCCGGGAATAGGCATAGGGCATACTTGAAAGGAGATCAAAATGATGAAATCATACTATCTGCGGGACCTCTTGGAAGCCCACAACTTTTGATGTTGAGTGGCATAGGTCCAAAAGATCAACTTGATGCCCAACAAATCAAACTTGTGCTAAACCAACCCTCGGTTGGCCAAGGCATGAAAGATAACCCACTAAATGCAATATTCATCCCTTCTCCCATCCCTGTTGAGCAATCTGTAGTTCAAGTTATAGGTAGTCTGGCTGGCAGCCAAATTGAGCAAGTTAGTGGCATTAATTTTGTTCTTGGGAGCCCTTCTGACTATCAAGGCTTTTCATATGAGGTATATACCGTTTTTATACATATTTCTTTTCTACTTATGAGAATATATATGAAATCGTATTAGATTACTCTCAATATATCAAGATGAAATGGTCAAAATCTAACGGATGTGAGACTAAATGTACTAAAATGACAAATATAAATGTACATATCTTTCTTTGCAGATGGGCGGATTTGTATTTCTGAAACTCGATGGCCCCTTTTCTACAGGGGAGTTAAAGCTTCAAAGCCGTAATCCAACCGACATTCCATCAGTAGAATTCAACTATTATAAAGATCCCAGAGACTTGAAACAATGTGTGGATGGTATCAATACCATCCTAACAGCAATTGGATCAAGCGCATTCTCAAAATTCAAATACCCGAATATGACGGTCCAAGATATTCTTGACCTTACTGTTAAACTTCCAACATACTTACCAATACATGCTAATACAAGTTTGTCTATGGAACAATTCTGCAAGGACACTGTAAGGACTATATGGCACTTTCATGGTGGGTGTCAAATTGGCAAAGTAGTTGATGACGACTACAAGGTTATTGGTGTGGATACTCTCCGAGTCATTGATGGGTCGACACTACTTAGCGCTCCGGCTAATCTGTTAATGCTTGGAAGGTATTTTTAAACCTGGAAAAATGAAAATGGGTTGCTTTATTTTAGTTCTATATTGAGTTTTTATGTTTAGAAGTCTATTTCAATTCATGTTTTATTTCTTCTACCAGGTACATGGGACATACTATACTAGCTCAAAGACTTGCAACTGAGAAATATGAATCAGGATCTTTTCAAGGTTATGATGTTGATTGACAAGCACGCTAACGTTTGTCTTAAAAGTCGTCTGATTATGTATGCTGTTATCAACTGAATTATTTAATGTGTATGTCAAGATAGAATGCCAATCAAAATCATCCCCTTGTTTCAATTGTAATGTACGTATCAAAGTTTCCTCTACCATCAAAGCAATTGTTGAAGAAATACCAATCAAAATCAAGCCCACGAATTAAATTTGGAACTTTTGTTATGTAGAGCAAGAATAGTTCTTTCTTGGAATATTTATGATGCTTATCAAATTAACCCTATCTATCAGATTAAATTTGGAATATTGTTACTTTTGTTAGATAGGGTTAATATGATAAACATCATATGCCAATGTATGTTAACATGTAAAATAAACAAATATATATGCATATATGCATAGTGCATTGCATAAGCTATAACAAGAATAAGGGATTGTTAGATGTAGTCATATGGCGGGGTCAAAGGGGACTATAACAAAATTGGTTTTATTGGACGTCTAAAATGTCTAAACGTTCTAATAGAATATTTTGTACAACCTAAGTCTATCAAAAGGTGTTACAATAAGTTTAAAGGATGTTTACGGGCATTTTAAGAAGTTTTTTTAGGACACTTTTAAAATAAAATGTTCTATTAGCTATTTAATAGGACAATTTTAAGAAGTATCATATAGATCCATCTTTTTATAGAAGACAGTTGTGTTTATAAGACATTTATTTAAATATTGTTTTATAAAATAGCTAATATACCACTTTATATTATAAGCGTCCTAAAAATCTTGTTGAAACGCCTAAAAAGTACCTATAAACCGCCCTTTTACCTTTGAAAATCATATAATTACCTCCTGGAAACTTTTTGGTTCATCATGTTATTGCTCTGACCCCCCACAGTCCAAGCACAACGACACAATTATCAGGGGGCGTGGTCAATTTCTATGCTGCGATTCGGCCCAATCAATTTATCTGGTTCTGTCCGTCCTTGAAACAACTTTGTTCTCTCCATATTACTAAACCATATGCTCTTTTTGTGGGACCTCGTCAATTCCTACGCGAGGAAGGTAATAAAAAAAGAAAGATGATGAGATATATGACACTTTTTGTTTTGATCCTATAAACTTAAGTTCTATAAAGTATTTATTGAGATGCTTAAACATTTTAAAAATCTTATAAAATAAATTGTGCAGTGGTGGGGGTCGTGCCGCTTACAAAGTTCAAGGGGAAGCACCCTAAGTAGGGTCAAGGGGTCAAGCCCCTTGTGTGGTCTCAAAACCTATATAGTATATGGTCACTGCAAGAAAAAGTTTAGTTAGTTACCAAAATTTTAATTACCACTTATATTTTGGTCATTAACTATGGCGTTAGTCACGTCAACGAAGGTCGTCATTACTTTTGGTCACTAATATAAATTTTAGTGACGATAAATTAGGTCACTAAGTGGCCTCTATTTCTCAGAATTTTCTTATAACTTTGTGTTTCATCACAAATAGTGTGATTGTTAAATTGAAAAGATTAGTGACCATAAAACGGTGGTCAGTAAATTGAATGTGTTTATGATCAAAATATAATCATCAGTAATTAGGAATCATTAGTTGTAACATTGTATTGAGTTGTATGGGCTGGTGAAGGAAAAAAAAGGTGGTCGTTAAATAGAAAGTGTTAGTGACCAACAAAAGGTAGTCACTGAGCGTTATTAATTAATCGTGGAGTTGGAAGTGTTATGTAGTGACCAAAAACCAGTGATCACTAAATTGAATGTGTTAGTGACCAAAAAATACTAATCACTAAGTAGGATTCATTAGCTGTAAAATTGTATTGAGTTGGATGGGTTAGTAACCAAGAAAAAAGGTGGTCACTAATTAAATTGAACATGTTAGTGACCAACAACGACTAAGTGGTATTCATTAAACGTAGAGTTGGAAGGGTTAGTATTAGAATTGTATTTTAGGTTGTACTGTTTGGTCATAGTCTGTGAGTCATTTAGGTGCGGTCTATGGTTGTTTCGGTGTTCCCGAGTGTACAA